CTAAATTGATGTAAGCAATGACATATTCACCTAATTGATGTAAGTAATGACATCAATTTAGTTTGGGTTTGGGTTTAGGCTCCCATAATAGATCAAGTTTATGATCCAACACCCCCTTAAACTTGATCTTGTGACCCTTAGTAAGTTCCTTAATCTTATGAAGTCTTTGATTGTCAGTGGCTTGGTAAAAATATCGGCAATTTGATCTTGTGACTTCACGTATTCAACTTCCACATCGTTTCTTGCAACATACTCCCTTATATAGTGGTAGCAAATGTCGATGTGCTTGCTTCGATGATGGAATACTGGATTCTTTGCTAAGGCAATGGCTAACTTGTTGTCGACACAAACCTTGGTAGGCTCTTCTTGTATCAAACATATCTCCTTTAATAGATTTCTAAGCCAAATTGCATGACAAACGCATGAGGTAGCAACAACATATTCTTCTTCACAAGTGGATAATGTGACAATCGGTTGTTTCTTTGACATCCATGTGAAAGCAATATCTCCCATGAAAAATACGAATCCAGTAGTGCTCCTTCAATTACTATGTCTCCACCCCAATCACTATCACTATATCCAATAAGCTTGTAATCATTAGAAACTGAATAAAACAAGCCAAAGTCAATTGTACCTTTCAGATAGCGAAGAATTCTCTTTGTGGCTTTAAAATGGGTGGTTGTTGGAGATTCCATGTAGCGACTAACCAATCCAACTGCGTGAAGAATATCGGGCCTCGTGCCTCGTGCAAGTTAGATAGCATAGACTTCCCACCAAACTTTTGAAGAATGTTGGATATACACTTTCGCCTTCTTCATGTTTGGACATCTTGATCTCATATTCTGTCGGTGTGTTTATTGGCTTACAGTTCTCCATCTTGGACTTCTTCAGTATCTCCTTTGCATAGCTTTCCTGTGAAATGAAAATTCCATCCTTTTGTTGCTTAACTTTAATGCCAAGGTAGTACGCCATGAGCCCTATGTCTGTCATCTCGAATTCCTTTATCATCACATCCTTGAATTCATTAAACATGCTTGGGTTACTTCTGGTGAAGATCAAATCGTCCACGTAGAGGCACACGATCAAAATATTTCCATCTTTGATCTTGATATATAGAGCGTGCTCGTAGGAACATTTGTTGAAGTCATTCTCTTGGAAGTACTTGTCGATTCAGCTATTTCATGCCCTCGGTGCTTGTTTTAACCCATAAAGAGCCTTCTTCAACTTCAACACTTTGTCTTTGTGCCCTTTGACTTCATAGCCTGATGGTTGCTGAATGTAAACTTCCTCTTCAAGAACTCCATTTAGGAAGGCATACTTTACATCCATTTGCTGTATCTTCCACTTGTTTTGAGCTGCCAAAGAAATGATTAGTCTAATAGTCTCCAATCGAGCAACATGAGCAAATACCTCATCATAGTCAATTCCAACCTTTTGACTATAGCCTTTAGCAACTAGCATCTCTTGTGCCTTTCAATATCTCCTTTGAAGTTTTGCTTTGTTTTGTACACCCATTTTACACCTATCGCCTTATGTCCCTTGGGAATTGACGTAAGTTCCCATGTATCATTCTTCTCGATGGCCTTGATTTCTTCGTCCATCACATCTTTCCATTTCTTTTCTTGTACTGCTTCTTGAAAGCTCACTGGTTCACAATCGACAAACAGACAAAATAATGTAAGATTATCTTGTCGTTCAGTTACCTCATAGAGATCTCTAAGGCTTCTTGTACGTTGTACAACTCTTTCACTTTGACTCCCACTTGATGATGACGAAGGTGATGAGTCTCCTTGAGTGGTTGATGTTGGTGAAGTGGGTGGAGTTTCAAGCTCTTGTTGAGGTTCACCTAGTTGTTCCCTCATTGTCTGCTCATCTTCTTCAAACTGAGGAAAAAAATTGAAGTTATCCGCATGAGAGTTAAAATCCCATTATCTTTCTTCATTGAAGACCACATCTTGACTAATCACAAACTTCTTATTGTCTGGATTATACAGCTTGTAGCCTTTCGAATTTGCATTATAGCCGATGAAGATAAAACTCTTGCTTTTATCATCAAGCTTCGTTCGTCTCTCATCTGGTACGTGAACATGGGTTATACTTCCAAAAATTCTCAAGTGGGAAATGTCAGGCTTTCTTCCACTCCATGCCTCTTGCGGTGTCTTTCCCCATACACTTCTTGTTGGAGATTGGTTTATCAAGTAGACTTCACACGCTACTGTTTCCGCCCAAAATTCCTTGGGTAGTTTCTTGCTTTTGAGCATGCTTTGTGACATATCGAGGATTGTTCTGTTCTTTCTTTCTGTCACACCATTTTGCTGGGGGGATCTAGGAACTGTCATTGGTCGACGAATTCCATTTGCTTCATAGAACTCTTGAAACTTCTTGGAAGTAAATTCTCCACCTTGGTCGAATGTCATGACTTTGATCTAACTACCGCTTTCTCTCTCCACTGATGCTTTGAACTTCTTGAAGACTTCGAAAACTTATGACTTATATTTCAAGAAATATACCCAGGTTTTTCTTGAAAGATCATCAATGAAGAGAAGAAAATAATTACTGTTACCGAGAGAGCTTGACTTGATCGGTCCACACATCGGTATGGATGAGCTCAAGTGGCTTCTTGGCTCTTGTCTCTGACTCCTTTGGAAAACTTTTCCTGAATTATTTCCCGACTAGACACCCTTCACAAAACTGGTCAGGATGGTTGATGCGAGGTAGTCCCTTCACCATCTCCTTCTTAGACAGCAGCTTTAGACCTCCAAAATTGAGATGCCCAAATCGAAGATGCCAAAGCCATGATGCATCTTTGTAGCAAGCTTTCAGGCACTTTGCAACATCATTTTGTATGTTGATCAAGAACATTCTATTCTTTGACATCGAAACTTTAGCAATGAAGTTATTTTTATCATCTTTTATAGAAAGATTATAATTATTCATATTAATATCATAACATTTCTCTACCAGTTGCCCTAAGATTAAGATGTTACTTTTAATATTGGGCACATAGTAGACATTTGAAATAAATTAACGTCTCCCATCTTTCAAACGAATAAGAATGTTACCTCTCGCTTTCACTGCTATTGTGGAATCATCTCCAAACAAAGAATTTCCGCTTATTGACTCGTCTAGCTCCACGAACATGTCTTTCCTTCCACACATGTGATTGCTTGCACCACTGTCAAGATACCAGAAATTTACTTGGCCACCATCAGTTTCCTTTCGTGCCAGAAGAAGAGTTTATTTTCTATCTACCTTTTCCTCCACATAGTTGGCCTTTTCCTCAATTTTATTGTTGGGAGCTCTACATTCTGAAGCATAATGCCGAAACTTCTAACAATTATAACATCGAACTTGAGGTTTGTCATACTTTGAGTTCAGATTGATTCTTCCACGGCCTCGTGTTGAGTTTTCTCATTTCTCATAGTTGTTGTTGGAATTATTATTGTTGTAATTCCAGCCTCATCCACGATCGCAAATTTCAACCCGAGATAGGGATCAGGTTAGACAGTCTAGTTCTAGTTCGACTAGTAGAGGTAAACTGACTTAGAGTAGAGGTTCAGATAGATTTTTAGTGAGCCAGCCTGGGTTGGAATAAAACATTATATGCTCACCTATTAGATATCTAATACGTAAGAGATCATAAGGTATACAAACTTCTACTTTTATTCGAATATATATATGTAAAATTTTATCACATGGACCACTAAATATGGATTAAATAAAAAGACCACTTCAGTTATTTTATGACAAAAAATTATATTCCTTTATTCCATATACAACAAGTACACCCTAAAGTCCAAGGACATAGACAATAATTTTCTGGTTGTTAGAGTGGTAAGGTGTTTATAGAGCATATTAGTACAAACTCATGATTGTGCACTCAATAAGGAAATATCACTCTAGGACTCTCATAAGCACATTACTCATGTGGGTGTAATATTATAGGATATCTAGTTATAGTGAGATTTTGTAATCTTAAAATGTCTGTTTGTTATAGACACAATTTCAGTTACTTCAATTTAATGATATTTATTTCAAGGTTATTTTCTATAGATATAAAGTTTGTTTTGATTTATTTATACTATGATATAGGTAAAATTTGATCTCATTAATATTTAAAGAGGGCCAGTTGAAAATAGGTATATTTAGTTCACATTGCACATGGTTTCCATTCTACACTCAATGATTGATATATTTCGTTTGACGGTGTTTGCATACGTGATCATAGATGAATCTAGTCATGATTGATACGATGAAGACTACTTTGATCCTATATAGATAAAGTTGATGGACGAGATTGTTATAGAATAACTATTATATTATAGAAAATTTTGAACTCAAGGTTGTATATTTTTCAGGAAACATATGCTATCCAATTTGTAGGTTGTTGGATTAAATTCAATAATTGTGGGCAGACATGTATAATGTATAATGTTATCATAAAATATGGCATAAAAAGTAACTAATTATGTTAAATGTGTTATATGTATTAAAATGTCATGAAATCAAAGTGTATATACCATAAGTTATATTTATAATGTGATGGCGGACAAAATTTTAAATATTTAATATATTGTCTCCAAGAAATAGGCTAACATGTATTACTATTTTCCAGTCAGAGAATTTTTACAGAAGAGAAACCTATTTTATTGGAATATAACAATCAAAGAAAGACTCGGGTATTTTAATATATTAATTAATTCAAACATGCTTATGTACTAATATTTTTATTATTGATGATTTGACACAATTAAATCCCGGGTTTTGATTTTGTATCAATAAGGTTTTAGTTCTAACATCCATTACGGTTGAAGCTTACGCCTATGCATGTATTGCAATTGTCAAATGAATTGAACTTTCGAGTAATCATCGAAGGAGACTCACTTACGATCATCAAGAAACTGCAAAGTATGGTCGAAGATAGATCCATAATAACAATATCATCACAGAAGCGATGAGCAGATTGAGAGATTTTGAAAGAGCAGTTTTCAGATTTGTACCTCGTGGCGCAAATTCGGCTGCCCATGTTCTCACCGAAGAAGATCCAATCGTTGTAGAAAGAGTGGTTGAACGAGATTAGAGAAAATTTGCACCGATTTTAAGTCTAGAAAAAAAAAATGCAATTTAGTAGAGAAAGATGAAAAATAGTGAATGATACAAATGCCAGTCAAATCCAGAGAACATGAGCATAACTTCGATATGATTACAGAGAGAAAAGAAGATAGGTGGCTGCAACCAGCCTGGCCTATAACTTGGATCCCCAGCTTATCTAATTACTGTTCATTCGCTTTCAAATTTAATAACGAAATTGATATAATTATGTTTGGTAGGAGAAAACTTGTAACAGCCATTCATTATGGTACATCAATTTGCAATCAGAAATGTGTTTTCAGTTGTGTTGTGGTTGTGGGTGCATTATTTATTCCTTCTTTATCCATTTTACGCTACTTGTAAAATATTGGAAATAATCTATCACTCCATGATTTTTTTATTTATATAGGTAAATCAAAGGGAAGTGTCTATGTGGGCTGATAAAAATTGTTTTCTGGGTTTAAAATAAACGAGCAGTAAGCAGCAACTTCTTATGCAAATTCATGGAATGTGGAGACTTTAGTTAAAAGGAAAATGGACGCGTTAACTCAAATCCAACGACATATTATACCTTAGGAACAAATCAGAACCGTTGACTTCCAATCAGCCCTGTTTCTGAGATTTTAGTGACCCGGGAATATAAAAATTAGGTCTCCAATAATAAGTGTCAAAAAAATTAAATTGTAAGAGCAAAAAATAATTGTTTGTAAATTATTTTTTAGTACGTTTAATAAACTATCTAATAAATACATAAATATCTCAGACATTTTCGGGACCTTGAGCGAAACTAAAAGACAGACTCATATAAAATAAAATTATATTCTAATAATTTGAATAATTAATTTAATATTATGTTAATAAATCATATAAAAATGATTAAATTAGGGGTTTAAATTATAAAAGTAAAAAATATGCTTGAACAATTAGAGACCCCAATTATAAAGGTAAAAAGTGATATTAAAAAAATAGGGGCATCAATTTTAAAGGTAAAAAATTAGATTGAAAAAAATTAGGGGCCTAAATTATATGAGTAAAAGATGGGATTGAAAAAAATTAGGGGCCTCAATTATAAATGTAAAAAGTGAGTTTGAAAAAAGCTGGAGCTTAATTATATAAGTACAAGGTGGGATTGAAAAACTTAGGATCATCAATTATAAATGTAAAAAAAATGGAATTAAAAAAATTAAGGGCCTCCGTTATAAAGATAAAAAGTAAGATTACAAAAATTAGGGATCTTAATTATAAAGATAAAAAACTAAAATTAAAGAAAATTATAGGGTTAAATAATAAAAATAAACAATATTATAAAAAAAATTAGGAGCCCCATACAAAATGAGGGGCATGAACAGTTGCTCAAGGTGCACCCCTAATAGCAAATATATATATATATATATAATTTTAATGAAAAACGAAAAATAATTTAAAAATATCATATAATATCGTTCTTGATTTTTTAATGATGAATAACCAACAAAAGTAAATTGTAACATTAAATATAATTTAAAAAAATAATAATTGAATAACCAAAACAAAAATAAAATAATAGTTGAGTGACTAAACAAATAATTTGTTATTTTTTTTAATTATATATGAATTTCTAAAATTTTGGGCATGAGCAAGAGGGGCGCCTAGGTAAGTGCCTCTTTTGCCATGCTCAAATACGCTTCCAATTAGGTGTACTCAATCTAAAAATTAAAGTTCTCCATTTGTACCTACACCTGATTCGATCCAAGTTGATCGTACCATAAAAAAAATTGATCCGACCCAAATCCATACTTTTAAAATAAAAAACTAATCCACTCATATATAATCAAGTCAAAACTCATTACATTCGGATTAAATTACCACTTCCAATAATCTCTCATAATCTTAAAACATAATGAATTCACATGCATGGCAAAGGGCGATGCAAATTCTTTTCTTTATTTAAACAGAGAGTACATCATCCCTTAGTTAAAACTCCACCAGTTTTGTTCTCTCTCATGGTTAACGTTGACTTAAGAAAAAAAACACTCTGAAAATCCACGTCCAATAACCCATTTCTTTGGCCACTTCCATGGCTGACCAATTCCATATTTTTCACCTCTCGAAATTGTTGTTTGTCTTCTCCTCTCATTCTTCCATCATTGGATCATGAACAACACCGCATCGGATTCCAGTGACGACGGACTTCTCGCATCCAACAACATTAGTGGCTTCGGATATGGCATCGGAGTTTCAGTCGGAGTCCTCCTCCTTATCACCACCATCATTTTGGCTTCCTATTTCTGCACCACCAGGACTCAACCGCAGCAAGAAGCACATTCGAGAAGGTCTCGGCAACGGCGACAAGAGCGGCCTAATATCGGTACGGATTGCTTCGTGGTCGATGTAGGCCTCGACGAGGATACGATAAAGAGCTACCCGAAGCTGCTTTACTCGGAGGCCAAGCTCCAGAAGAAAGATTCCACGGCTTCATGTTGCTCAATATGCTTGGCGGATTACACGAGCAGTGACCGGCTTAGGTTGTTGCCTGACTGCAACCATCTGTTCCATGTAAAGTGTGTTGACCCTTGGTTGCGGTTGAACCCGACATGTCCGGTTTGCAGGACATCTCCCATCCCAACGCCTTTGTCCACGCCTCTTGCCGAGGTGGTTCCGTTGTCAAACAGACAAGGTGGGTGATGTCAACAAAACTGTTACTTCTATATCTGTTCAATTCTTCATCATTATTCCATCAATGTATAATTTTTACTATAAGAAGAGAGATCTTTCCATAGTACAAAAAAGAAGAATCTTTTTGTTGTTCTTTTTTTTTTTTTTTGAATTTTTGTTATAGAAATGCAATGAATCTTCAAAATTATCAATATTCACCTAAAGATTATATCAGATCCCATATACAAAGTTATTTATTTGTTTATCTGTCATCCTATATGAAGTAGGATGTATTATTTGATTAGATTCTATCAGGTGGGTCCAACATCATTTGTTGCTACCCCACTACAATAAATTTGCTTAATCCTTGTCACAGCCTACTGCTTCCAGACTCATCTATCAGAGAAACTTATAAGATATTTCACATAGTGATACATAAATGATATCAAGGAAATTAATTAAACAATTAATTAAAGTTTTTTTTACGACTCACACAGAACAATTGATCTTTGTAGTAAAAGAAAATATTATCATCTTTAAAAAATTTAAATTTCGAGAATCTACTTTTATAAGATGTATGTATGTTGTCAAAGATTAATTTTTTTTAAACATATATAACCTTATAATCATCCTAAATTATTAAAAAAAATTACAGTTCTTAAATATACAAATCAAGTACTAAAGGATGAACTTAACACCATCATTTAATTGTATGTTTGATAATAAATGAGTTACAATACTTATATACACGAATCAAATAATTAATGTTGAAATTAACATTTAACACTTCATATTTAAAATTTTTATCATTTTAACAATAGTTTATTGATGTTTTATGACAAATATCATTTATTGCTTTGATTAGATTAGCTCACTTGGTTAACAGTATTGTAAAAAAATAAATTGATTGAATTTTGAAATATGAATGGTTAATTTCTTTGAATTGAGATAAAATTAATAGAATGTATAAGTTTTGTAGATAAAATTAAAAAAAATGAATAGTTAAATTGATTGTATTATTGCTTTAATTACATATCTATTTTATTTTTAATGAAAAAATATATTTTTCATAATATTTTAATTAAATAATATAATTATATCTTTTTAAAAATTAATCTATGTATTATCAAATAAATATTTAAATAACATAAAATATATTTATCTAATAATTACTTTAATCTCCAACAACAAAAGAGAAAGAAAACTGTTGTGAGCTGATAATAACAAGTGCATGTGACGTTGCAAGTGAGTATTCGACTCAAATAGATATGCATGTCAGCATGTACAGAAGAAATCATGCCAATATTGAGAATTGAAGCGTTTAAGATTGTTTCACCTGTATTATTAAAATACATTATCATATAACGTTCATCTTGGATCTTCGATTGATGACAACATTGCATCTTAAATTTTATAATTAAAAAAAGGACGAAAACCTACAAATCAGGCGTGATAATGGAAAATTTGATAGGAAGGAAATACAAGAATTTGCCCCAAAGTCAATGAGGGTGGTAAAATGATAAAGCAAGTAACATGTTACAAAGAAAAACTTTAAACATTAAAAAATTAGGAGTTTAAATTATAATTTTTAAAAATTATGAAGGGTTTAATTTACATTTTTTTTCTAAAAAATTAAGGTCTGATTAATTTTTTTGAAATTTAGAGAGACTTTATGAGAATTTTTAAAAATTACGGGAGGATTTAATCAAGAATATTAAACAATTTTAAAGTTTAATATAAATTTTTAAAAATTAAAAAACTTAAGGGTTTAAATTATATATATATTTTTAAAATTTTGGAGGGAGCCATGGCCCCCACTAGTCTCTCTTATATATTCCATAATTCTCGTAATAAGTTTAAAACTCACAACTTAAGAGAATATGATAAAACAAAATAAAATACTTAAACAATTGACTAAATATATTTGCTCACAATTATAAGCTTTTTAAAATCTAAATTAGAAGTTGATGAAATGCTCCTCTTCAAAAAATCAACACCCTTTAAAAATAACAGTAACAATATTAAATGAATTAAAACAAAATCAATGTATAAATCAAAATCAATAATAATGCATGCCTTTTAATTTCATGTGTTACTTTTATATTACATCCGATTTGTGGATCAAAGAAAATAATGTAATAAATAAAAAGATAGTGAAATAATAGTATAAAGTGATTTTTATTCATTACATTATTTCAATATATTTAATAAATTGATTTACTTGAAAGCTCCGAGTTGACATTTTTCTTGTTCTTTAGTTGTGAGTTCAATACTTAATAAGAACAAAACTCCTCTTCTCCCTCTTAAATAGAAATTGATAAAAACTAATAATCCCATTAATATACAACATTTAATTACTTTTGGTTGTTTTCCAATTGAATTGTATGTCACCATATCTGTAACATTCATTTCCCGTATACGTTTCCGTACACAAGTCACAGATATCACATAACTTTTAAAAGATTTTCATTGTGAAAAACCAGTAAAAATATTTTTTCATAAAACATTTTAATTTAATAATAATAAAACGTTCATTTACTTTTAGTATGCAAATAAACCTTAAAGTTCGAACATATTCAATTTTTTTACATTATTATAAGTCAAATACTTTTTAGAGTATTGTCATAAATCTATTACATGCAAGCTAATAACATCAAAATGTAGACATAGTTTTCGTATAGTTACTGATGAGGCGGTCCTTGATTGGCGATGTCAGTTGCACTCCTTACTCCGCTAGTATTAATACCTATGCGTGAAATCAACACACGCTAAGTAGTCACTTAGTGAGGCATAATAACAATGAGGTGAATTTTTAAAACAAAGTATATCATAACTATCAAAATATGAATTGGATATTACAATTCATTATAAATTCGTGGTTTTGCACACATATTGCCGATACGATAATTCACAAACTCATTATGAATTACGTGGGGTTGCACACATAATGTCAATACGGAAATTCATAAACTCATTCTGAATTTCGTGGGGTTTGCACACATAGTGCCAATACTGAAATTCATAAACTAATTATGAATTTCGTGAGGTTGCACACATAGGGCCAATACGGAAATTCATAAACTAATTATGAATTTCGTGGGGTTGCACACATATTGTCAATATGGAAATTCATAAACTCATTATGAATTTCGTGAGGTTGCACACATAGTGCCAATACGAAAATTCATAAACTCTATGAATTTTGAGAGGTTGCACACATAGTGCAAATACGAAAATTCATAAACCCACTATGAATTTCGTGGGGTTGCACATATAGTGCAAATACGAAAATTCATAAACCCACTATGAATTTCGTGGGGTTGCACACATAGTGCAAATACGAAAATTCATAAACCCACTATGAATTTCGTGGGGTTGCATATATAGTGCCAATACGAAAATTGCAACATATACATTACACAACATGCATCTATGACTATCATAACATATAAGTACATAATAAATGCACTCACCTGGTAAGCCTTACTATTATGCCTTACTGATGTCCGATTATTCGGCAACTTTATCCTTGCCTTTTGTTCTTGCTTGATTCAGGAACTTGATTACGATCTACATAAGCATCCATAATCACATATACAATACAAATGTTACTATACTTTCTAACATTTGTACAAAGTAATAATACTAAAAAATACTATTATTCTCTAATTCTAGTAAAGTTCATCCTAACTTAAAATTCTAGGCTGATTAGTATTGATACTTCTATACTATGGTATCGATACTTCTATACTATGGTATCGATACTCCCTTCAGTATCAATACGATTTTTGCATTCTGGAATCCATTTTTAAATAATAGTATCGATACCTTCCTCTTGGTATCGATACCCTACTTCAGACCGATACTACTTGCATAAGTATCGATATTGTTCATCGTGTTCATCATCTTTCCTCAAATTTAACCCTATAGTATCGATATTGTTCTTCCGGTACCGATACCTTTACCCATATTTTACATATTTAACTTCGATTTTTACCACATTTTCACCTAAATCTCTTACTTTTATCCCCAACCATACCATTAAACTCATCATTACTTAATACAACTAAATTACATCCCTAAATATTCTCATAACAGCTAAAATCTCCAAAGGACACTCAAAACTAAGAATCACATCAATTTTTCCAACTTGTTTTTAATCACTTCTAAGGCTCCAAATCTCTTATTCACTTTTTTGACAAGTTAAAAATGCCTTTAAACTTCCATAATTGACCATATTTCATCAAATTATTTAAAAACCCATTTTATTAAATCTCAAATAAAGCATTCATCTCTTAGTTTTAATCCTCCTTGAACTTTCCTTGAGCCTCTATATCACTTAAGGTTTCAAAACAAACCCAAAAACAAAAGGAAAAACCAACATTGAAGAATCCTTACCTTAGTTGTGGAGAGCACGAGACTACAGGGAAGAAGAAGAGAGTAGATAACCATTTTTCCCTCATTTAACCTTTAATAAAAATGAATATTAAATTCATTCAATTCTAAAAGACCAAAATGCCCCTCTATTTCTTTCATTCTTACTAATAGGTCTTAAATACAGTTTCTTAAATAAATCCTTGTACTTTTCAATTTATTTAAATTAACCCACCAAATTTTTAAATCCTTTTTCTATAGTCACTGACCTTATATTTGGGGTATTACAATTCTCCCCTTAAGAAAATTCATCCTCGAATTTTAAGATGTACCTGATGTGAAGAGATGTGGAAACTGTTTTTTTATGTCCTAATCTCTTTCCCAAGTAGCTTCCTCGACTTTATGATTTTGCCAAAGTACTTTAACTAGAGGAATCTTCTTGTTACGTAGTTTTTTGATTTCTCGTGCCAAGATCCGCACTGGCTCTTCCTTGTAAGTCAAATCTGTTCGACTCTATATTTCCTCTGGTGTGATAATATGTGATGGATTGATCGGTACTTCCTAAGCATCGACACATGAAAACAATTATGGATCTTGTCCATATCGGGAGGCAAAGCTAGCTGATAAGCTACTGGGCACACCCTTTTTAAAATCTCATAAGGTCCTATAAATCTCGGACTCAATTTTCGTTTGCGCCTGAATCAAAATGCTTTCTTC